ATAAATAAATAAATAATAAGCTAGATGTGATAGCATCCTCATGTCTGCCATAGGAACAATGTTACCACTTTAAAACAGGCAATTTATAAATGCTGTGAGGGCCCAATGTAATATAGTGGGACAAGGTGCTGTCCCCCCCCCATCCCCCTGCCTCTTCATGTGCCGAGATGATGAAGCACGGGAGTGAAGAGTTTTGTCCAGAGATTAAGACCACATCAGATTCTTTAACAAGAGGAGAGCTTTATTAAAATAAGGCACCTGAGTCTAGCCAACACCAAGGTGTTATCCAAAAATGCTAGCCCCTAAACTCTGCAATGACTGCGGCTGGGTGTCCATTTTGGCCCTTGAAAAGGCACAGGGATGGGAACAAGAGCCATTTTGTTCCACTGCACTGCCTGAGCCCTTCCACCATTTTAAAATTTAGACTTTGAAATAGTGGCAGCTTCCCTGTGGCGGACATGAGGATGCCGTCACATCTAGTTTGGCCCTCAGACAGTAATGTGAAAGACCTCGATCTAAGAGCTGCTGCCGGTCAGAGCAGACAATGCTGAGCCTCCTCAACTAATAGTCTGACTCAGCAGAAGGAGTTATTTGTGCTCATAGGTGCTGCAAGTTATGTTCCATAGACACGTTTCCAGTCTGTGAAAATAATGAGACTGCACACCAAGCAAAAACGTAAACTAGTAACACTGGAAAAGAATGCATTTAATAGTAGGAAAATTACAAGTGTGTTTTGTAATACAGGAAAAGCATCACACATGTACTCTACCTTTGAAACAATATTTGATTATAAGAAAGTTTTTAAAAAGATGTTTGTGCAGTTAAACGTAAACTTGTGAGTACTTTTCTTCTTTTACAATATAAGTGATCTTAACAGTCTCACATTTCCTTCAGTAGCACCTTTTCTCCCTTTCCCATATAAACTAAACTGCAAACATAGCATATGTGTACCAATACACATTCAGCGGCTGTGTAAATATTTTTAATGCAGGGATCTCTTTAAAGTGCTTTTAAATGTGATAAACCACCATTGACATGTAAATTGTAGGATGGGTAGGGAAAGTCCACAGATCTGGATTGTCCTGAGCATAGTACTACAAGAATGAGAAAAATGCCATCACACTTACGGAAGTTAATGCCGCAAAGCAAATGCACACAGTGTGGAATTGAGCTCTGTTCAGGGGAATCGAGCTGACTCAGGGAGGCTGCTGGAAGCATTTTAATAGAGGGGGGAAGACTTAACAGTAAGACTCCAGCATTCTTCACAAGCCCTGGCAATCAGAAGCCACCGCTAGTGCGTGAACATCACAACACCACCACAACACCACCACAAAGGCCATTTTGTGTACCAAACAAAAAGCAAAGATTACCACGGGGCCGTGGCTCAGTAGTAAGAGCATCTGCTTGGCATGCAGAGGGTACCAGGTTCAATCCCTGGCATCTCCAGCTAAAAGGATCAGGTAGCAGGAGATATGAACGTCTGAGACCCTGGAGAGCCACTGCCAGTCAGAGTAGACAATCCTGAACATTGATGGACCAAGGGTCTGGTTTAGTAAAGAGCAGCTTCATCGCCTGCCAGCTTTATGGAGCCAGGTCTGTTCACGAGGAGCCTGTAATGTTAGACATATGTTGTTGATGTCAGACATATGCCTGTAACCAGGGCTTTTTTTGTAGAAAAAGCCCAGCAGGAACACATTAGCATAATAGGCCACACCCAACAGCAGAAAATCATTAGCATATTAGGCCACACCCTATGCCTTCCCTTGGCTTGCCCGGGCACCCTACAGCTGCAGGGAGCCCCAGCAAGCCAACCCTTGGACGGGAGGGGAGGCAGATTCAACTGCCTTCCCTTGGCTTGCCCAGGCACCCCTTCCCTCTGTAGCCACACGCACAGAGGTTTTGGCTGTAGTGAGTGTGGCCAACTCTGAAGCCAGCCGGAACTCCGTTCCTGTATGTTCCTGCCCCAAAATAGCCCTGCCTGTAACGTTAGACATATGGTTTAACACAAGAAATTTATGGTCCGTGTCACTGTAACCGGACAAGTGCTGGACACTAGTAACATGTCTTGCATATTAGAGGTCTTAACTCTGGAACTGAACTTCACGAGTCACTCTCTGCGGCAGCCATTGCAACATATGTGACATAACCTTTAAACAGAGTCTTGGCCCAGCACACCCTGGCAGAGTTAACAGTATGAAGTCTGAACTAGTGCCAAGGTTGGTGTGCCTGCCAAGTACTGCTGTATGTCAGTGTCTAATAGAGGCCATTAGCAGGGCATCTGCTAGAATAGGGCTTTATTTAGGTGCCAGTCCCTCAGAGAATATTCCTTTCAAGGTCTTTTTCCCTGAGAAAAAGGAGGACTTTCAAAGTTCAAAATCCATCAAGAAATAAAAATCATCAGTGGCCTACCCAACAAAAGACCTTTTGCACAAATCCTCCATAAGTTTCAGGCTGGACTGCTAACTACATTTATGTTTACCATTTTAAACAAGATTAACAACATTCGTTTGTTCTCCTATATTTAATCTTCTTCCACACTACCATATTTAATTTTCATCCACATTTTCATGCAAATCCTCATTTTTCAGGCTGGACTGCTAACTGCATGCATGTCTACCATTTTAAACAAGATTAACCACATTAGTTTGTTCTCCTATATTTAATGTTCTTCCACACTACCGTATTCAATTTTCTTGCACATCTTTTTTTTCCGGGGGTGGGTGGGGTCAAGACGCAACAGACTTATGGAAATCCCATAAGGTTTTCAAGGTAAGAGATATTCAGGAACATTGCCTGCCTCTGTGTAGCATCCATGGACTTTCATGGTGATCTCACATCCACATACTGACCAGGGCCAGCCCTGCTTAACTTCCAAGGTCTGACTAGCCAGGACTAGCCAGGTTAGAGTTCTTGGATACTATTTAACTGAATAATATCTGTGCATACCTTTCTAATTAATTAAAATGTTCCCATTCTTCCTTTTCTTTCCCCTGTTCTTAAACTTCACGATGAGGAAAAATACTTTCATATTCCCTTGTAAGAGAGCACATAAGTGTAGTAGGAGCACATAACAGTGCAGCTGCTTATTAATTTTTTTTGCCCAAGCAGGCAGAAGTCATTATTCCCTAATAATTGCACAGTTGTCACCAAGACAGAGAAATAAATACTAGTAGCTCAGCTAACAGCATCATCTAATTCTCACACTGGTATTTTGCTTAGTAAATATTTAGTTGTTTAGACAACAGTAAGTACAGTCTCTCCAGAGTCTCCATAAAGCATATATTTCTTTGGAACGCTCCTTCCGAGGGTGAAATCTGTTGTTTCCTACTTGCTAGAGAACTCTGAAAATAAACTGGGCTCCGAGATGTCCCTGCTGTAGGCACATGTGGAATACTGTGTACGGTTCCTGTTCCCGCATTTCAAAACAGGAATTGAAGAGCTGGGGAAAAGTACGGAAAAGGGCGAGCACAATGATCACAGGGATGGAACATCTGCTCTATTGAGGCTAAAGGATCTAAGGCACTGCACTTTATGAAAAAAATGTGACCAAGGGCAAGGGGGTGACATAAGAGGTCCACAAAATTACACATGGTATAGAGGAAGTGGACAGAAATTTATCTCCCTCTCTCATAACACTAGAACTCTGTTACCCTATGAAACTGGCTGGCAGCCAACTGAAGACAAAGGAAATCCTGTTTCACATCGCAGACAGTTGGCTTGTGGAACTCACTGCTACAAGATGTGGCGACAGCCACTGAGATGCATTTAAAACAAGGATGGGCAAATTTATGATAGATGGTTATAGCTATGAAAGCTGAATGGTGTCTCTAGGGACAGAGGTATGGTACTGGGGGTGGTCAGCAGGTGACAGTTCCTGTCTACAAATATTTCTTATGGGCTCCCTATGGTACTTAAGCGGCTACTGTTATAAGACGACACTGGACTAGATGGCCTATGGGTTTGACCTCACATGGGTACAGTTATGTCGCTAAGTTAAGATATGGTGAATATTATCTCTGACCACACCAAGGGCATATTTACCCAAACTGCTAGCAGGGACAGAAACAGGGTGGGAAAAGTTCACATTATGCAGGCTTTATGATGCAAAGAATTAAAGTGATAATGAATTAATGTAATAATGAATTAGTGTGATAATGAGTTAATGAAAAAAACTGGCCATTCTTCTTCATCCATTACATATATGTAAATAGGCTGGCCAGTCACTGATGCTTTTTTTAGATGGATCTTACATAGGGTGATAAAATATCTCGAATCAGCCCTGCTTCAAGGGCACCAAATCACTCGCTCCTGGAAGAACAAAGTACCAAAACAGACAGACTAAAATCTGAAAGCCTACAATAGTCTTATTACATAATCTTTATGAAAAAAACCATTCCTGCATTTCCCTAACTTCACAGAGCTATTGCAATTCTTTCACTAGATAAATAGTTATTTTAATTGATCCTGGAAGCAGAAATGTGATAGTGCTTTTAGCATTTATATAGCAAAATTATTTGTGCAAGACTGGCTTCTGGAGAGCCTTAATGCTTTTCTTGTGTTCAACATGGGAGCCACAAATGTCATCAGAACAGGCGTAAATAATACCCAGGGGAGGGGAATGTGCATCAGTTGCAGGTTCCAAATTTAAGCTAAGTATTTCTCAGAGATAGATCAAGATAGGGTAGCTGTGTTTGTCTATAGCAGTATAAAAGAGTAAGAGTCCAGTAGCAGCTTAAAGACGAACAAAATTTGTGGCAGGGGATGAGCTTTCATGAGTCACTGCTCACTTCTTCAGAGGAAGTCTGCTCTTGCCCTTTTTTTTTTTTTTTGGCTTTATGCCTAACCTTTCATATATTTTGGATTTAGAAACAGAGTTGGAAGAGATCCCAAGGGTCATCTAAGCCAACCCCCTGCATGATGCAGGAAATTCACAGGTACCTCCCTGCCCCCCTGCTCTATGCCCAGAGGAAGGCAAAAAACCTCCAGGATCCCTGGGCCAATCTGGTCTGGAGGAAAACTCCTTCCTGACCCCAAAGTGGCGATCAGCATTACTCTGTGTACCCTGCAAGCAAAGGACACAAGAGCTGAGCACTGGCTCGTCCCTTCCCACCCTCTGCCTAAATTTGGGAAAGTGGTAACAGGATTGGGCCTTGCCTGAACTAACTATGGGCAACAATCCACAAACCACTTCTCTGGAATCCTTTGGCAGCATATACACAATAAAAGGTCTGTAGACTATAAATACTGCAACAAATAGAGAAGTTGTTGTGGGAAGATTCGCTATGTGTATATGTGTTACACACACACACAAGCAGAGGATTCCCATAGGAGCTGAAACAGTCTTGCTAATTTGAAGTAGAGCAGGACTTCGATCTCCTTCATCAGCTTTTGCTCCTAAGATTATAGCATGCCGGTGAAAAATCCCTCTTCAGAAACAGGAAACTGCTGTGAGCCAGGATATTTTGATTGTGTCAGCACCCCAAATCTGAGAAAGTGTTCTGAAGATCATACAGAAGTTCTCTTCCCACCAAAAAAAAAAAAAACTCCATTCATTTCAACACACCAAGGGATTGAGCAGAGCATTCTCCTCTGCAGAACTTGAACAGCAACCTCAGCAGGAGCTCTCTGTATGCAGACAGCTTCAGTAAAGGGGGCATATTTAGATCTCACACAATGTAGCATCCCTGCTATCACAACAGTGCCTTTCTTAATCTGAAAATAGAAAGCTTGTTGTAACTGCAGGCATAAGAATCAGCCACTAGCATAAGGGCCACTTAAAAAACTGAACAGTACTTCAAAGCATCTTTCTGTTGAAATACTCAAGGGAGTGTCGTAATTTAAAGTCTCTTCCTGCGTACCACTTAATTTATAAACCAAAGATATGAGTAAGTCGGTTGGATCCACCACCAATAAGGGAACGCCAATTTTCCATTACCTTACCCTTCTTTTATGCCAGGCAGGAACTTGAAAAGGATCTTGGGTATCTGAAGAATGGCCTCGTGGGAAAGCATCCTCTCTTTAGCAAATGTTCAGCTGACATGAGTTTCTACTCTGGGTCTCTGGGATCCAGTCCAGCTTCCACAAGGCACAGACTGTGCCAGAACCCCCTACGCTCTCACATTTCTCAAAGCCCAGCGCAGTCCCCAGATACAAGGAATGTGAAATTAAGTGCCTACCCTTTTCCCCACATCATGCAGGAATGGGATAACAGGGAGTCACATTCCATAGAGCTAGAACAAAATACTGCACAATGCAAAGGTGAAAAAAAGTAGATGTTGCCATTGACTCATATCCATTCTCCTGGATTTCATGACATGAATACTGGGCAATTAGACTTAAATCTCCTGTGATGGCATTAGATACAGTATATTTGATTTATGGCATTTTTCAGCACTGGGTAGACTTGAGTATTCATCCCACCCCTCCAACAGGTGGAGCAGGAGAGCTGTATAAAGGTATATCAGATAAACTTTTTGACCATGTATATACATGAGCAAGATTAATTGTCACATTTCACTAGTAGCCCACCACTAAAATGCCGATTCTACAGCAGTAGACCACAGGAAACACTTTGCTAATTTGTGTGTGATTAATCCACAACACAGTCAGAAAAAATGATCCTAATATACAGGAAAAAACCTAAGATAGAAATACAGTACCTGTAGACCCACCCTTAATAGCGATTCTCATTCTAAGCCTACATATTCACACTGGAATTATAAAGAGAAGTCAGGTTTTCCACCTCTTGACCCAACAAAGCCCTGGGACTGAACTTCATATGCTCCAAAGCACGCACCAATATAAACCCTGTGTGTTCAACAGGACTTGTCTGGAATTTGAACCCCTAAGTCCTTTGCCGGCTAAACACATCTCAAATATCCCTCATGTGCAGTTATTCATCTGCCCTGGTGGGGTCATCTTCCTCATCTTGACTAAGCATCTCTGGAGAGAAAGCACTTTGCTTTTTAAAACCTCAATCGTTTACCAATTCTGATTTGCATCAACAGCTCCCATTTACTGTCATTATCTTTCAGCAATCTGGCTGAACTGCTTCAAGGCTGGGACTTCTGATCACTACAGCATTTTGGCTTTCTCAAATGGGACAGGTTGCAGAAGTGCAAAATCATCCTCGTTCTGAGTAATTACATATACAGGGAAAGAAGCTACCCTACACAGGCTAACTCTCCCCAAATCTGCTTTGATTTTACTTTGGATGAAATATGAACTTCCCACCAAAAGCAAAGAATACAAGCTTGATTTCCAACAGCCACCCACCAGCCCCCATTCCTTTTACCAACACCCAAGGGTCAGAAAGGCTCATCTGTGCGGTTGCTGTCCAGCAGTTTCAACCAGGCTCCTTTATTTTTCAGAGAACTGCAGTGCAGATATACTTTTTAAAGTCAGTAATTATCATATTCCTTGAACAACCCCTTTGTATCAGTTTGCACCCCACGCTCTCCTATATTTGACCAGTGCATAAGATCTGTGCAACATATATTTGTTCGTGCCCATTTGCTGGGTGACCGTCGGCCAGTCACAGAGTCTCAGCCTAACCTACCCCACAGAGTTGTTGTAAGGATAAAATGGAAAACAACGTAAGCCACTTCGAGCCCCTCTTGGGCAGAAAGATGGGCTAAAAATGAAGTAAAATAATTACACTGGGTTAAAGTGCAAGCACAGAGACATGAAGTGCATCGGTTGAAGTGCAAAACTACAGACAAGAGCGGAAAAATAAGAGGCTTTTTAAAAAATAGTCTCTTGTGAGCCTAATCTACACTGCCATAAGAGTCCATCAAAACAGCAACCAAAAGTCAGGAGGTTCTCCCCTCCTGACAATGTCCTATTGGCAGTGATCCTTTAGAGCGCTTTAGAAAAAGCTGCATTTGAGTGCAAATCAATGGTTTGTTTTTTAAAAAAATCCAAATAACTTTTGTGCAGATTTATTTTAAAAGGTTTCTTTGGTGCTTCGGAAAGGGAAGAAATGCAAAAGGCAGACAGGGCTGGCCAGCTTAGCAAGGGCCCGATAGCATTAGATGAAGTGGATCCAGCTCTCCTCACATTCTCTAGGCATCTTTAGAGGATGACTCCTACACGTGAGGCTGTAGTTCTCGCCTTGGTTGTTATCCCAGTACTCCTGCTCATTGACTCGGTATCGGACCGCAAACTCAACCACCGAGCTAACCTGGAGGAGGAAAGGGGGTACCGGAAGGAAGAAGGTGAAGACGTCCATTTGGTCCTGCCCATCCTTCCCAGGGGTGCTGCTGTGCCACCGGGCACTCACTTCATGCTGGCCTCTCCAGTGGTTGAAGGTGTAGCGCACGGCTACCTGCTTCTCAAAGGCAACGTTCACCACCCTAACAGTTCCGTTCAGGCCCAAATCCGAGCTACTGACTCGCTCCAGGCACACCTGTTGCTGCCTGAGACGGCTGGGGTAGTCCTCCAAGTCGGCTGGCTGCTGGAAGTCCGGCACCAGGCACTGCATAGTAAATTCCAGCTCCCGTCTGCTGCAGCACAGATCAGAATTGATGGACAGGCGGGAGAGAACGTGCAAAGGAATCGAGGGATCTTCCCCAGATTGGAAAACTTTCACTTCGGCCAGCTCCAAGCCTAGCGCATCTGCAAACCTGACCCGGTTCCTGCGGGTGCTGCACCCTGGGCCGCGGCACTGGGCCGCTGTGTTCCTCCTCCTTTCTGGGGAACTGGGCAAAGACCTGGCTCGGCGACGCATGATGGGCCTCAGATGCGGGTCGCAGCTCGTAACTCTGTTGCTCTGGGGATGTTGCCGCCGTGCCACCTCCGTGACCGAAGCAGTCAGAAGACCGGTGCTGTTGCTGCTCCGTAGCGGCTGGCACCATCTCCGCTCTGTCCCTCGCACTTCTTTATCTCGCAGCATGTGCTGATAGAGATCCGAGAGGTAGCTGGGGCTCCTGCGGGGAGGCCGCAGCACCATTGGCTCTTGAGGACTAGCAGCTTGAGCAGTCATTGCTGTTCCCAAGGACACCTTCTGTCGGGACATGGAGGCCTGGAGGGAAGAGAGGCACTGAGGGGCAAGCAGTAACCGAACTGTGGCTGCCAAAACCCTTACACTTTTGCACAGGCACACAAAAATATAGATGGCAAGCCTCACATCAATCCTTAGAGCAGACAAGAAAGTTTGTGGCTGGCCAGCAGAGGCGACAGGCTTTCGGTCACACGCTGCGGGATCCAGAGGAATGACACTGTGCCAGGGAGGTCTCCAGGCTATCGAAGAGGCTGCAGGGGGATTCGAGGCTGTCGCTGGGCAGGCTGGAGGCCTGGGTGCTGGACGCGGACTGGAGGCTGTCCCGCTGGAGGCTGGAGGTCTCCAGGGTGTCGTTGAGGCTGAAGAGGGGCTGGAGGGCGGCCCGACAGGGGGGCGCAGCAGGGTCGAGGCTGTCCCCCGGGTTGAAGCTGAAGGACACCAAGCTCCCCGGCCGCTCAAGGCTGTCGCTTTGGAGGCTGGAGGGATCCAGCAGGCTGCCCAGGCTGGGAGGCGCTCTGGGGCTGCCGGGCGAGGACTCGAGGCTGTCGCGGGACACGCTGGACGAGGGGGGCTGGAGGAGGCTGTCTCGCTGGAGGAGGCTGTCCGCTAGAAGGGGGTCGCTGGGAGACGGGCGGCTCGGGCAGGGGCTAGGAGGGGAGTCGGCGCGCGGAGACTCGGGCCCCCACATCCAGCCGCACGAAGGCTCTCGCGCGGACTGGACTGGCCCGGCGGCAAGTTCGTGCTGCTTTTGCG